CAATGATAACTGATATTAGAGGTGCAAAGAGGCATAAAAAAAGCAGCATCATTCGGGCAAAGACTTTCCGCCTGTCCATCCGCCCACTTATTTTCCCAGCAGTCATTGGGAAGAGGCGGTGGACGCCGTGGACGGGTCTCTGGTCCATCTCAGCTCAGCTCAACATAAACCCGTTCTGCTGCTCTCCTTCCTGTCATCAGTCAGAAGCTAAAAAAGCTGAACAGAAAGGAAGCTGTTGCTAGGCAACCACTTTGCCCAGTGGGTATGAAAACGGGCCATGGAGGGCATGTGTGTGCGCAGATCGTCAGCAGGCCTGTTACCGCGGTAACAAGCATGACTAAGAGCTGCTGCTGTGTTTTGGGTTTGTGAACGAAGAATAGAGAAAACATGATACATGACGTCTTCATGTGGTTTAGGTTAGTGTGTATTTTCAGAAAGCTGGTTTTATCCAGTTTGAATCACCTTGGTGTTTAACTTTAAATGATCGTCTGCTGAACCAAACAGAACCGGAATAATAAGGGAAATCCTTTAACGGCCTGAAGTTGGGTTTATTTCGTCTGGCCGGTCTGATCGCAGCAGATACAGGATGCTACCTGCCGCTGATCTGCGACGCCACATTTCTGTCCTGAAGGCACAGATCAGAATAATCCCCCAGTAATCTGCCTCAGAGATGGTGCTGCTTAATCTGTCAGAACCACAGCAAACTGACTGCCCTGTTATTGCTGGGTGGAGGATTTGGGAGGGTCCGTGTTAATGACGGAGCTTATTAAAGACGGACCAACAACAGACGGTAATCTAATTACCACCCAGTGCTGCTCTGTGATGCTGTAATGATCAGACTCCTGTTTGGTGTTTGTGTCAAGGGTTAATCTGAGTTTAAGGCTTTGGACTAGGAGGGAGAATATGCAGTGTTTGGTCCAGCATTGAGCTCATGGATTACTTCATCGGTTCATATTCTTATATTTTCTCCTGGTCTTTGAGACGTCTCTGAAGAGAAAACAAATTTTTCAACCTTTTAACCCTAAAGTTGTATAATTTGCTTTAAACCTCCTCCTCTTCCTCCTGATGTTATTCATCAACTCCTCAGCCTCACCCCCTCCCTGGTTTTCATTCAGCAAACGGGGGACGTTCCTGCTGAGGGTTAAGGGGACTGCTGCAGAAAGATGGCCTCCTTAGACCCAGATCCTAATCAATGCAGAAGGTTTTCCTCAGTCTCCAGCCCAGGCTGAATCCTTCAGGTCTTACAGGCCAATCTCCAGCATGTTTTCTGTTAAACACACCTGACATGAATCAATAAGAATCCTGGCTGGAGAAATGAAGCCTTCAGGGACTCCTTTAAAAAATGCTGGACTCTGAGCCACCAGGACAGTCAGGGGATTCTGTTTATGATCACCTGGGTTAGCAGCAGACCGTTCACCCGCAGCAGGAGGTGCTCCCGTCTCTGTTTGATTTGCATGCTAACTGTCTGGTTTCTCCTTCAGTCTGGGCTCAGCAGCTATGCGTTTCAGCCTGGCACGCTCCAGGTACAGACCCACAAACATCACACACTTCTAGAAGAATCTTGGGCTTAGATGATGTTCACCACAGAGAGGAACAATCCTCATCAAGCAGTCACTTCTGTCTGTTTATCACTGTATAATCCGGAGTCTCTTTATTGGACCTGATCTTTCAGACTTTCACTGTTTCCTTTTAATTTAGCCAAGATTACAGATAAAAACAGTTTTTTTTCTTCGATAAAGTCAAACTTTACACAGATTTCCATCCAGCTTCAGTTATTCTACTATTTAAATTCAAAGGAGACGTAAAACATCTGAATTATTTTCAGAAGCTTAAAGATTAAATTATATCAATGAACAAAAATAAGTATGGAGTTAATTTTGTTCCGTTATTGTTGCAACGAGCATGTCTTGTGACTAATAAAGTCAAAAAATGCAACACAGAAATCAATTTAAAAAATTTCATCCAAAAATCTTTTTTAAGTAACTGCTGTTTACTAACTTTTTTTTTCAAACTTGTTTCCAATTTTTTTTTTCTTTTTTTTATCATTCAAAAAAGTAAATCTGATAAATAAGTTACTCTCACAATGGTTTTATCCCAAATCAGAGCTATTTTTATCATTTTCTTTTATTTCAAATTTTCGTTTACAACACATTTCTTTGGTTGCAACTATAATGGAGCATAATTCACTCCATACATGAGCAGATGACGCTGTCCTGATGGATTGTCACAGAAAGAGGAAGTTGTTGCTGTGATTTTAGGCTTTTTATGGATGTAAAAAGAATGTGTTTTACTGTATTTTGGCAAAGCATCTCTTAACAAAATAAGTGAAATGATGAAGAGGTTTCTGTGTTTTTAGTGGAGCCGTACTCCCCTCCTCTTCCTCTAAATTCATAGTAAAGCCGCCCAGATCAGACCCAGTGGAGTTGCTGTTCAAAACGTCCCCAGAATGAAGCACTGAGTTGGTCACCTAATGGTTGTTTTATGTTGATCATAAAATGATCAAATGGTGCAGAAACAGCGGCCATTTTGTTCTGTCTGGTGACCACCAGTAGGGGGCGTTGTTTGTCTTGGACTAATTTACTAAAAAACCAAGCAGGTTTTTTTTTAGTCATAAAAATGTGCAAATCTTCAATAATTAGTCCAAATCTACATGAAAGATCATCTGCAGAATTTGATGTTTGTCACTAATTTAGGATGATGGTGACCTAGATACTGATGAGGGAGGAGACAAAACCGGATGAAAGTGACATTTCTGAACAAAACTTTCAACTAATGCATTAACTGTGACTTGTTTTGTTACACTGCAATGTTTTAGACCATCAAAAGCATAATTCAAAGTCAAAGATAACACTGCAAAAATATTCTGAAAATGTATGAAACAATTCTTAAAGTAAGTGTATTTATGCTTAATTTGAGTGTGGAAATAATATGATCTGCCAATGAAACAAGAATTTTATCATTAAGATAAGATAATTAGATGCTATGCACATGAAATAAAAGACTGCAGTTGTTTTGTGTTATTTTAAATGAAAATTGTGTTATTCCATTGGCAAATTGTCTCACTTTCCAGCTCAATTCAAGAAAAAAATTCACTTATTCTCAGAAAAAAAATACTTAATTTACATTTTTTTTGCAGTGAACGGGTTCATAAAAGAAAAAGCTTTTAAAAGACCCCCCAGTCCACAAAAGAATGAACCTGGTTCTGATTTGATGATGTGTTTACACTCTAAACCCATATGGTGTACATTAGGGATGCACGATATAATCGGCCCCCTATCGGTATCGGCCTTAAAACTGAATATCGGACATCGGCCACC